GTTAGCTCTAAGATTCTGGTAGAAAGGTTTTGAGAGACCCCAAAGAATTGCTTTGATCAATTATTTGTTTATTTTTGGTAGCAACGTTTATTTTCCTGTGAATTGCTTTTTTAGCCACCTTGGGACTTTTTTTTTTAACCTGGGGGATGGTAGTATATGAATGTTTTGATTAAATGAATTGTTTTTATGAACCCTCAGGCTCTGAGGGATCCATTGTATCAGATGTGGAACCACAACCTGACATCATCCCGCATTTTTTGTGTTTCCCCTTAGCACTCTTCAACATTAGATTTCTCAACCATTGGCTGGCTATCTATCCATGCTGCTATATTGGGCATTTATGAATAACAGCTGGCTTCTGATAACCCATTTTTTTTTGTCTGACTTCCTACAAATGAGGCAGCTAGCTGTATCATTAAAGTTTTTGCTTCTGCATATCATGCCTAAAACATTCCACAATGGATTAGTTAGCTATTTTGCGGAGCACCTAAAATATATTGTACAGATGAGGCCATTAATAACTAGCTAAAGGTTTTCATTTGAAGATTTTTTTTAGTGTTTAGATTTTAAAATGAGATTTTTGTCATCCATTTGTGATTCATGCTCTAAGGCCTCACTCTTGGTGGTAGACTATGAAATACCCAACAATTGTGAGACCTCAAGCTTAGGAAAACTTCATTCTTAAGATCTAATGGTATAATTAAGAAAACTCTCAAAGGTTATTTTATCACAGAAATTTCTACTACATTACCCAGAAATTATCGCTTATTTTTCCGTATTAGATGTCAGCTTTAAAAAAAGTGTCAATGTGACCAGTACAATATGAAATCATTTGTCTTCTTCCATTTCCATGCTTTCTCTCACGTCATGCATAGAATGTATAAAGCCTTCCTCCTTCCATTGCTGCTTGTTGAAGTCCTTCCTTCCCTTCAAGTCCCAGCTCAGATACCACCCCTTCCATAATGGTTTCCTGATGGTCCCATTTAGAAGTGATCTTTCTTTCCTCAAATCAATTAATTCATTTCAGACTTGTGTTTGGATCTCTCCTATACAGTTAGCATAAACTAATGTTTATTTTAGTTATTTGTGTCCCTATTTTATTGATCCATTCGATTTTAAGCCCAGTGAAGGCAGGTACCGTATCTTATTTCATTTTATGAAATGCTTAGCAAGGAGCTTACAAATTTGAATGAATGAATTCAACCACTGAATAGAATCCCTGGGGAAGCTAATAGGGGAGTGTTGCTAAAGGCACACCTGCAGTTATCACTTATAGACAGAACCAAATTGGCAAAGTCAATTTCATCAGGAATGATATTGAGCTGGATTCTGAACCATACACTCATTTCCCCCTCTTCTTTCTGGTACTGATGTGCACTTCTTAGAACTATTCTGACTAATTTTCTCTCTCTCTTTCTTTCTTTCTTTCTTTCTTTTCTTTCTTTTTCTTTTCCTCTTTCTTTCTCTTTCTTTCTTTCTTTCTTTCTTTCTTTCTTTCTTTCTTTCTTTCTCTTTCTTTCTTTTTTGTTAAACCCTCTGTGACAGCTACTTGGAGTTACAAAGAAAGCAGCACTTTAGGTTCCTCTCTATTAGTGAAAATGGTCAATGGTTTCTTTTTATTCCTTTTTCTATATGAACGAATTTAGGAAAAGAAACTGTATCGAGTTCACAACTAATAAAGAAAAATCTTTTCTTTTTCTTTTTTTTAGCATTATATTTTAGACCTTTCCTTTCCTGTCACTTTCATATCTACATGTTTAGATATGTATATATGTATACATACAGATTTCAAATAGATCATAAGAGTACCTTTACTGGAGGATTTTCCTCTTCTCATCTTATGTCTTACTTAAGAAAGGCAGGCTATAAGTTTTAGATAGTTTTTCTTAAACATTGGCAGGATATGATGCAGGGAAATCTCACAAAAGACTGAATTCCATTCATTTTCTTATGTATCAATTGACATGCATTACACATCCTTTTTGCCTCTTATGTTCTTACTGTTGTACTTTCTTGATATGTTCTATAATCTCACTTGATATGTTCTATAATCTCACTTGATATGTTCTATAATCTCACTTCTGATCCTTTATAAGATATTTTGGAGTCCTAACATGAATATTTTCTCTGGATTCACCCTAAGGCCTTGATTGATTAGAACATTTTCTCCCTCCTTTTCTCCCATGGGTGCTTTGCATCCTTTGCTTTATTCCTTTAGATCTCTCCACACATTCCTCATAATACAAATTTAATGTACTACAACTCAAAGTTCTTTTTATCTCTCACTGGCATTTTTGAAAATTTTATCTTAACCTTAGTATGCTCTTGTGATCTTTCAGGAAGGATCCTGACATTTAAGTTATTCAAAAACAAACCTTATGCTGTTCTTATCATGTTGATAGAAATGATTGAGGCATATATGAAGATGTACACAATAATCTACACATATTTTTACTCTGCAACTCTAAGTCTCTGCAATTGCCATTTCTCATTACTTTCTATCATTTTTAGTAATAATTTTTTAAAAATTGTTTTCCCAAGGTAAAATTGTCATTTGTCAATATTAGGTCTTAAAGTCACCTGACTTCTAAGCACAAATATTTACAGTGCTCTAAACAGAATATGTACTTATTTTTTCCCAAGGCATGTTGTCTTTAGCGTAATTAATTTCTCTTTCATTTTGCTTTTTTTTTTAATCAGTCTTTGCCTTTCACAAAGATCTCCCAAAGACACCTCATTCTTAAATCTTACGATTTTTCTGACTAAGGAACATGTTTGCCCCTTCCTAGATTTTCTCTTTTGAAACAATACACAATAATATTTTGTTAAACTACCTGTTGGATAATGTAGAGAAACTTGATGGAGGGGGGGTAGCACTACTTTGGAACTAGGTTGTCTGTAGCTTGGCTGTTTAGCTTTGAGAAAGAGGTAACCTGACATTTTCTTTTCTGGGCTGATGTGTGCCTGGAATAAACTTTTGCAACTCTTGCTTTTATGTAATTCTAAAGAGATGTCTGGAAACCCACATTTTGCTGGAGAGAAGAGAGGAAGTCGAAACTATGTATAAGCTATAAGAAACAAGCTTGGCTTGTCACTTATAGGTAGACTTCTCTTTCCCTTCAGCTGTTAGCAAACACATCCCAATTGATCTTTGCAGCTCTTGTTGGAGGGTGGGCTAGTGGGAGGCAGTGGGGAATGAACAGCGTGTGGGGAGTGGGATGTAAGGAAGGCAGAGGCTGCAGGGAGGGTGGGGATAGAGCTTCACGAAAGAAAAAAAAAATGTGAGTTCGGTTGGTACAATACGGTTTCACCAGACCCACCCATCCTTTCTTGCTATGTAAGCCTCGGAACACGAGGAGACAGATTAGTGCTGAAAGGACAGCTTTGGCTTGTGAGCTGGGAAAACAAAAACTAGCCTTTGCAAAGGCGATTTAACCTTCAAGGAGGGGAGCGACAGTCAGCCGGCCTCGGAAGACACCTCAGAAGCCTCCAGGCCATTTGTTCTTTGTTAGGATTGGGGAGCACCGCTCGGACCCACCCAAAGCTCCATGGTTTCCCCAGACCTCTGTGATGGTGACTGTGGACTCCGATGCTGACGCCTGGTGTACATCTCGCAACATGAAGGCAGAGAGCCCGACTGGTTGTCAGTGGGGGCTGTTTCTGTGTCTTCCCGAGTTCAGCGCTGAGGGAGGCGGCATAGCCACCTGAACATGGAAAAATCCAACAAGTTGTTTCTCGTCGGTGGAAGGAGGTTCGGCGGGCGTCAGGTGGGAGTGAGTCCAGCAGGCAAGAAAGCCGCGTCGCGTTGGAAAGCAGGCAGACCTACTTTCTCTCGGTCTCTCGCTTGTTAAGGTATTCAGGGATGGAAGGAAGAATGGAGAGGGAGGGAAGGAATGGAGCCGGGGGTGCTGCGGGATAGGCGCACTTGACTGGCAGGCATCCCTTCCTGCTGTTTGGGCATCTGATTGTAGAGGTGAAACCCCAGGGAAAGGTGAGCAGAAGGCTGGTATTAGAACAGCTGGTAGCTGTGACTGTCTGCCAACGGCTATCCGCTGAGATCTCCTTAGTGCGTCGGATTGCACTATACCCCTCCTAGAAAGCAAACGCTTTTCTTCAGCGTCCCCCTCCCCCACTCCCCTGGGGAATATGAGCGCACTGAACTGATTACTTGCCTTCAGAGAGACAGCTCCAAGCCATCCATTCTCATGCCCCGCCCCCTCCCTCCCAAGGTGGGAAGGAAAGGAGATTAGGCAAGGGTCTGCTCGGTAAGAGGCAGCCTTATCTATTTGTTTATCCATCTATCTATATTATGACTTCTGCCTCCAGTCCTTTTGACAATCCCGTAAGGCAACGTGGAGAAGTGGATGAGAGTTAAAAACCACCAGCCTGGGGGAGCCCACAGCTCAGTTGGGAAAAGCAAACCAAACCGTCCATTCCGGGTTGGTTGAGGGTTTTTTTTTTTTTTTTTTTTTTTTTTTTAAATCATGGGCTTTTAGGTCAGGCTAGGAGATGGGAAAGAAGGGAGGGTTGCGGTTACCACATACTAGTTTCTAAGTTGTGAGTGCAAGAGAGGTTCATTAAAGTGAGCACGATGAGCCCCCTAGCGCTTGGGGGAAGAGCAGAGCAAGAGGGGGAGCGGTAGGGGCAGTAAGTCAACGGATGGATTGGAAGACGAGGGGAGGAAGGGGGAAGAGATGTTCTAGGGGAGATCTGGGGAACCAGAGGGGCGTGAGCTAGGGAAAACCGAAAGGATCAGGAAAGATCTGGGGCAGTCAGAAGAGGCGCTTAATGGGGGGAGGTGCGATGAAGAGGAGATAGCATCCGAAGCTGCTTCTGACTCCTCCAGCTCTTGGCCCCCTTGTCCACTCTCTGTGTCATCACTCACTTCCTCTCGGGGGTGGCGGGGTCTGCGAGGGAAGGGTGGGGGTGGCCTTTTGCCTTGCTGTAGCTTTAACCCAGTGGTGTGTTCGCCTCCCCTCAGTCATGTCTGAGCCACAGAAATGGGCAAGATCGAGAACAACGAGAGGGTGATCCTCAACGTGGGGGGGACCCGGCACGAAACCTACCGCAGCACGCTGAAGACCCTCCCGGGGACCCGCTTAGCTCTGCTCGCCTCGGAGCCCCAGGGCGATTATTTGACTGGAGGCGATGAGCAGCAGCCATCGCCCCCTCCCCCGACGCCCCCCGCTCCGCCCCTACCCCCCGGCCCAGCCGGAGGCTGCTTCGAGAGCAGCGCAAGCAACTGCAGCCCCCGGGGCGCCCACGGAGGCGGCGGGCACGAGTTCTTCTTCGACCGGCACCCCGGGGTCTTCGCTTACGTCCTCAACTACTACCGCACAGGCAAGTTGCACTGCCCCGCCGACGTGTGCGGACCCCTGTTCGAGGAGGAGCTGGCCTTCTGGGGCATCGACGAGACCGACGTGGAGCCCTGCTGCTGGATGACCTACAGGCAGCACCGGGACGCGGAGGAGGCGCTCGACATCTTTGAGACCCCCGACCTTATCGGCGGCGACCAAGGCGACGACGAGGACCTGACCGCCAAGAGGCTGGGCATCGAGGAGGTGGCGGGGGTGGGGGGCCCGGACTGCAAAGCCGGCCGCTGGAAAAGGTTGCAGCCCCGGATGTGGGCTCTCTTCGAGGATCCCTACTCTTCTCGAGCCGCCAGGGTAAGCCCAGGGTCGACCCCACCCTCTTCCCCAAACTCCTCCCTAATATCGTTATTTCTCGGTCGCTTTCTTTCCTTTCTGCTCTCTCTTTGGAAGGATGGTTCAATGAGGGTCCAGAAGCGGCCTTGTAGGCTCAACCCTGTGCCGCCTAGAGGGTCCTTGGACCCCACAGGATTGCAGACCTATGTACAAAGGCCTCACTGACTTTCTTCACTTAGGATGGGGACCAGGGTGTAAATTAAAGATGCCTCACTTTATGGACTAGTGCAAGTCTTGGTCTGGTAGTCCCGGAAACTCAAACCACATTTACCTCTTCTCCTTATTTTTTCTTCTCCCATATTCCTCTTCTTCATTCATCTTTACTACTTTCTCCTACTCGGTGGTCACCTTGATTTAACATTTCAAACCCTGGGCGTCCCATGAACTCAAACCTCCTTTACCTCTTCTTCTTCTTCTTTTTTTTCCCCCTACTTTCGCGTTCCACTTTTTCATTCACCTTTACTCCTTTCTCCTACCTCGTGGTCATCCTGATTTAACATTTCGAATGAAGCATAACCTTCCAGAGTGATTCGTGCAGAGCAGTGACTTCAATTAGGGTCCTATTCTAGGAGCTGAAGGAAAGTGTGTGTGTATATGTGTGTGTGTGTGTGTGTGTGTGTGTGTGTTCATGCAACGTGTTTGGTCAAGAGAATCTTACTTCTCTTTATAGCTCACTCCTTTCCTGGTTTGGAAGTCTGCTGAACTTCACTGAGCTGATTTTAAGGAGCTTACAGAACCCATCAGGACACTGTTTGGAATATCTTACATTTGGACTAAAAACAAAACCAAAAACAAACACCAAAACAAACCAAGGCAAGATGTTCAGCCAGTTTACTAATAGCTTGATCTTGAATTACTCATTTAGGTAAACAATTTTTTTTTCGTTTTAAAAACTGACCTGATTTCAAACTGTGTCAGACTTTAACTTTTGGTTGGGATATGACCCCAACTCAATTTTTCTTTTTAGTTTCTATCTTCAGTCACTGCTTAGAAAGAGCCCAGATTAAGTCTTCATTTTTTTTGAAGGGATTTAATCATTAGAGGTTCATTTAACATTAAATAAATATAAATAGAGAGTCACATAGTTAGGGGTTCTAATTTTACATGGCAAAATAATGTCTTTTTTCCTTTTAAATCATTGAATCTGATTTGTAAATCAAAGGGTTCTTCAACTACACTTTAACCTCATCTTCATTTTCTTGTCTCTTTGTCAGTTTTTTCCATGGTAAGATAATACTTGGCAACAAAGTCTAATGACTAGTTTCAAATAATACCTGTTTTAAAATGAACAAATTTGTTACATATGATGTCTTGAGGAGCAGAGGGTGATCATATTTTTAGTTTTTGGATAGAATGTGGAAGAGAAAATCTGGTAGAGTATTTCTTTCCTTCCCTTATAAAAGAAGTCACTGAGACTCACACACTCTTTCTCTGGTTTGTTCACACTTTTATCTTTAGAAATAGTATTAATAACTTGAACTCTGAAATGTTCTATTTCTTTGGGATGATTCTTCTCAAAATTTAATCCCAATGATTTAACATTCACAAAGAGACAAATACTAATTTCAGTTCATGATTATTGTAGTTCTCTTTTGCTTTCACGCTGAGAACCTCAGAATCCTCTCATTTGGTGGCTGAAAAGACAAGCAGGTCTCTTTCTTTTTTTCTTTTCTTTTAGGGCTCACCACACATCAGTGTTTGCAGGTGGTGCATCTGAATGGCAGTATTTTATCAGTGTTCTCCATGATAACCCAAGGGACATATTAGTCTAGGTCAATGGTGAGGTGTCCACATTGCGCTGGAATTTCATTATGTTGAAAAATGCTGTATAAATGTAAGCCATTCCATCAAAAGTGTTTGCAACACACTGAGATGAATAATATTGAAGATTTGAAAGGCTACCCATTTTATAGATGAGGTAAGAAACAGTGAGGAATAACCACTAGAAGAGGAGTTAAGAGCTATTATTCCTGAGTTTCTAGTCTGTTAATTCTGTAGATCCATGTTGCTTTTGTACTGGTATATTGTGATATAGTTATTGAAATTCTAATATTTAGGAGTCATCTAAAACTTTAGTGCCTATGCTGTAGCATTCAGGTTGGTAGAATTGGTATCCACTTCCTGTAGGAAAGAGTAAGAATGTAGAATCATTTTAAAATAACCTTTGAACTTTGGAGTTTGTATTGTCTAGTCAGTATTTAATGTTTTCCTTTTTCTTAGGTCTATTGGTGATGAACTTGCCCTCTGGGAAGTCCCTTTTCAGATTACTGGATAAAAGCAAATAATAATATCTTTGTATTTAAATGGTGATTGACATATGTGAGTTTTAAACATGACTCTCTGTCAGGGCTATGGAAAATGTTTGCAGTTAAGCCAATACCCTGAGTAATCAGCTTGATTTGATGAAAATGACTGCATTGAGAGATCCAGGTGGGAATAAAATATACATATGTATATGTGCATACATGTACATATATAATATTGTTATAGTAGACATAAATGAATTAATTAAATCATTTGATTTGGCACAATATTTCATTGACATGAGTTTTATTTCTAATATGCAATATCTTCAAGTACTTTAACTTTTATGATCACTGGAATAAAAAAAAGATTAGTTTTTTATTTCCTTTTGCTGAATAATTTTGGTTCCATTAATACATTTAGATCTTTTACCATCTTTTATATTTGGTTGTACCTATTTTCTTCATCCTTTGTCTCAGATCTCTATTTTGTACTGTCTAGTAGCTGCTTCAGTGAAATAATATGTTCGTTCTATTCAACTTTAATGATTTAAACTCACCTACTATGAAACCACAATTATTAGAAATTTGTGGCAACGTATTTCCCTTGCCTTTTGCTCAACTTGGTGCCCTAGGTCCCCTTCATTCACTTCTTTTTACATTACAAAAATATAGATAACCACAATACATAAATATACAAAATTTAGCTTGATATATTTTGGTAAACAAGGTCACATTTCTTATTTATGACATGAATTTTTATTCTTAACTGTGTTCTCTAAAAATAGAAATTTATAGAAATTCACATATAAGTTGTCATGGTAACCTGTTGGCAAGAAAGTGAGATCAGGGGAGGAAAGGAGAGATTATTCTAGTGATACTATCGGATGATATTGCACAAACATTGAGAACAAGGTTATGCCGAGATGCTTATAGACCTTTATGATAATCCTGTGTCTTAAATTTCCAATTCAATACTTACATTTTAGAAGCAGATGGAGCATGTATCTTATTTTCTGTAAAAAACATTATATTATTAATGAAAAAAAGGATGCCTGTAGAAAGATTCTTTGTTGAACTTGAATTTTTAAAGTTTAGAAAAAAATACTTTAAGGACTGAAGGTAAGAACTTAAGGTTATACTGAAAAAATGTTCATTCTTATCCCTTTGATCATGTAACTATGAACATGAAAGTTTCTCTTTATACTTAATTTTTTGAGAAGATTGAAATTCAGATATCTAGAAGAGTGTGGATTTCCTTCAATGAATCTGTATATCATTCACAACTTATGCAACTCTATTGCCTTTTTCCAGGAACATTTTGCAGGGAAGATAGGAGAGGGGGTTGGGTAAGGAAAGAGAATGAATTTCTACAATGACACAGCAATTAAAATCTTGCTTTTTGTAGGTGCAATGTTACATCATCCCATATTTTGTTTAGCTCTGTCTAATATCTAATCTATCTTTTTTTTTTTTACAAAATTCCAAAATCTAGAGACAATTGTTAATAGTGCCTGCATCACTTTTGCACGATATTAAAATTATTTGTATTATTTATTACAGTGTTTCCAATCATATAGCAAAGAGGATGTGTTAGTAAAATACTAGTAGAATTATACCTTCAATGCCAGTGAAAGCAGTGAGGGTCAAAAGGGCACCCATTCCAGGAAATCTGGTTTTTGTTTAATTAATTCTTTAGGATTTTTTTTTTTAGTTATTCCAATAGTTGTACCAAAGTTTCCATAAGGTATTTAATTGCAATGTAGGAAGTCAAACATACCTGGAGAAAAATGAAAAATAAAAAACCTTTCAAGTAGCTGAATGTTCCAGATCCGAAAGTTTAACCTAAAGACAATTTATTGGCACCTACTTCAGTAGTTCAGTGGACCTGTGATATTGACGTGACACTCCTTTCAAAAATGTAAATTGTAGTGTGCCCATACCAGTACATCCTGAGGGACCCTTGCCCACCTCTGCTTGTAAATTCACCATAGGGAGACCACCCAACTTGCTGGAACTTTCTTTTAGATCTCTTAACATGGAACACACAGACCATATACTTTATGTCCACACTCTTGCTATTGACTGGCAAATCTTTTTTTTTCCCCTGATGTTACATAATGTATGAGGAAGACAAAAGATGGATCATTTTCTTACCTAAATTACATTACTGTATAAGCAAAAATTTCTTTAGAAGTTTTGAATGAAGTACTTTTGTCTTCATCATGGTTCTCAATTCAAAGAATTGATGTCCCCAATGGGCTTTTAAAAATCATACTAGCTAGTATTAATGTAGCATTCTCAAAATTTAATCTCATTTTATCCTTACCACAACTCTGAGAGGTTGATGCTATTTTTATGCCCATTTTATAAATGGAGAAACTGAGGTAAACATTGGTTAAGTGACTTGCCCAGGGTCACACAGCTAGTAAGATTGGAGGTAAAATTTGAACTCAGGTCTTCCTGACTCCACGACCTGTGCCCTACCCACTGTGACACTTAGCTGCTTCTAGAACATGCTGCCTAGTTTTAGAAAATTGAGTTTACTACTGTAGTGATAAAAATGAGTTAAGATACATAAAGATATTATAAATTAGAAAATTGTATATAAAAGTGTCAAAAATCTGACACGTTAAATATGAATCCATTTCTGTCAGAAATATGGTTATAAATATTGCCTATCACAATTGTCCGAGGTTATTATGTTTTGGTTCATTG